GTCAGGAAAAACAACAACTATATCATTCATCCATCCATTCATTTGACAAAACACACAATAAACGAGATCAAGATCAATCGCAAAACAAGTGGGGGTTGAAGCCAAGCCAAGATTCCGAAAACAAAAGAAAACGGGCGAGTAGCCGTGAGCCGAGATCAAAACTTATACACAAAAGCAAAGAGGGAGACAAGACAAAGAAAATTGCAAATCCGCGTCCATCAACCTCAGCTCTCTCTTCCTCTCTCTCTCTCCGATGCGGACAGTCCGTCGTCACGCACCAACCCACGAAGTCATCACCCCGCCTCCTGCACCCGTCAAGTTCACCCACGCGCTACAGTCCGTCGTAGCCCCACGCGTCAACCCCGCGCATTCGGCACCAGCTCGTCGGGTCGCCCGACTCCCACTTCAACTCACCTCTTACTTCGCTCGTGAGCCGACCCTCACTGATCGCGCTACTCCGAGCTTCCAACAGCTGGTTAAAAGAGCTATTTAATCACGCAACCGGAATTTATAGTATGTATGCATGCGCGAAGAACACGGAATTGCAAGGACTTAGAAAGGAGATTAGGAGAGGGAGCGCCTACTTTCTGCGTGGCCAGACCGCGGCGTGGGGGATGTAGCCACTCTCCACGCATCGATCCGAGCATGCAGGCCGTGGGGCTAACTAGGCACAGCAAAAGGGAAAGAGAGAGCGGGAAAGACGAAGCTCAAGAAGAAAGATACAGTTACAATGGCGCCCGCCCAAAAATTACAGTTACTTGCGAGATTAAGGTCGCCGACTAATCAGAGCTCCGTTGCAGCCACAAAAAGGAGCGTGCAAGAAAGACAACGCGCGGCAAAAGAAATCCCGAATTCCTAAATTCCTAAATTCCTAGCTAATGCAAAAAGAAGCACAAATTCCGAAAAGAAAATCCGAAGTTCCGAGAGCCATCAAGGCTCGACAAGCTTTGAAAAAGAAATTCAAAAAGAACGAAGCAAAATTCCCGTGCGACCTCCGCGCCTAAGACCCGACAACAGAATCAAGAAAGAAGCGACGTCAAACATTATTATTTGCGCCTTTGTCGGCGCGACAACCACTCAATCGGCCATCTCGGGACTTGCCCGGCCCTGAACCCAGCCATCCGAAAAGAAACGACGCAAAAAGACGAAGAAGTGAGGACACCGATGCAATTTCCCTTTGATCCCGATCTTCCGTAATTGGCCCAACCTTCCCATCTTAGGACCCCTCATTGTCATCGCGCAGAAGATTGCGCGGAACAGAAATTGGTTCGTCACATATGGGACGCCGAGGGGGGTCCAATCTTAAGCAAGCTCCTGCTTGCTTGAATCATGACACGTGTCGATTGGGAAGGGATTGCAGGGGAAGGTGATGCAGGTAGTGATCTGGCGGAGGGTGAGGTGGTCAAGGGGACGACGGGATAAGGACCGGGGACGAAGCCCGATGCCCCGCATCGGTACGAGCTCGAACTGGTGGACGGGATGAGGTGGAGGGGGAGGGGGATCGGCTCCGTCGCCGTCTGGCCGGTGCGCTCGAAGTCTCGGCAGCAAGGTCCCCATCGTCGCCCTTGGGTGGCTCGGGATCCTTGGCTGGGTCATTCGGGATTGGCAGGTTCACCCCACTCGCGAACTCCAGCGACTGCTTCCCTGCTGCGATCTCTTCTCTTCTTCGGGCTGCCTCGGGATCCTCCTCATGAGGCTCTGCGCGATCCGCCTCTTCTCCTAACATCTCCCACTCAGATTCCTCCTCTTCCTCCAACTCATCTTCTTCTTCTTCTTTTTCTTCTTCTTCTTCTTCTTCTTCTTCTTCTTCTTCTTCTTCTTCTTTTTCTTCCTTTTCTTCTTCTTCGCTCTGCTCTCCCTCGCTGTGCTCGCTGTAACTTCCTTCTTCTGGGGTTTCCTCTTCTTCTTCCTCGTCGCTTCCCTTTTCGTCCTCTTCCTCCTCTTCCTCTAGTGTTATTGCTTCGTCTTCGGAGGTCGTTCGAGGCTGAAAGAAGGCGAGGTCGATTATCCCCCAGGGGTCCAGGTACTGTTGTTGCGATGGCGGGTTGTTGTTACCTGCTAGTTCCTCGAGGCAAGCCGACCACTGCAAGTAAGGCGTCAGCGTTCGCGAAAGGATGTGCGGGACCGGGCTCTCGTCGCACTGCAAAACGATATCGAGAGGGAGGTCGTCGGCCAGCTGCGCGAGGGGAATCGTGAGCTCCTGTACGATCTGTTGCCGATGGCCGGGCCGCACCGATCCAAATAGAAATCCGAGGAGGTCTCCTTCCACCTCTGTCCTCCAAGCTTGGATGATCAACAGTTCCCCGTATGCGACCCAGGCGCAGTGCTCTATGTCCCTCGTCCACGTCAGCTGCGCTCCGACCAGGCACACTGAAAGGTCGACGAAGTGCTCGCACCACCGTTCCCACTGTCTTCAATCGAGGAGGGGAACAGCGAGGGACTCTAGACGAAAGGATAAACGGGGGCAAAGGTCAGACTGCCAGAAGGTAGGGAAGAGAGAGGGGAGAGCGAAGGTAGAGAGCTGGGATCGGTTCATTGAGGACGCTGAAAAGGGACGAGCTTAGGAAGCACCACCGTCGGCTCGTGTCGAGACGTTCGGAGCCCTCCGACTTCGATGTCGTCCATGGGGATAAGATTATCGCCGTGGCGTGTAAGCCACTGATTCCACTCTGCCGTCAGCTGTTGACCCCACTGCCTTAGCGTCGTCCGGATTGCCGTGTGTCGCAGAGGGCTGATCGCACTAATGTCACCGCTGAAGATGACGACGGTGGACACGTGGCTAACTCTTGGGGTTGACAACCGTCGAACCGCCGTCGCTTCTGCCAACACGATCGCTTGACAATGGCCTGTGAATCGGAACTCCGCCGCCTCGTACACCCCGGTAGTGCTGAAGAATTGCGCGAGCCGTAGAAGGTCCAGACTGAATCGTGGGTAATGAACTTGTTGAATTGCGGAGATGTCGACATGTGGCGCCAGCATGTGATCGTCGAGAGCCCGCTCAGTGAGAAAACTCACGGCGATGGCGATAAGGACGGAGCAAGAGAAACGGGAGGGGATGAGAGCGAGAAAGGATCGTCGTCCTCCTCTGTAGCGAAGGAGGAAGCAGACGCGACAAGAGATGGAGATGAGGGGAGAAGACGGAGATAGGATACGTGGCGGACGATCGGTCGAGCCGATCGGCTTCCCGAGACCTTCGGCACGAGGCGCACGGTGTTCACCCCGTTCGGGCCGAGTTCGATCACGTGAAATCGCCCGAAGAATCGTGGCGCTATCTTCCCTTGACGAGCACATCTCCTCACCTGCACCAGGTCCCCTAATTTATACTGGGGCCGTGGTCCTGCGTTCCCATTTCGGGCCTCGTAGCTACGGACCTGTCGGCCGTGGGCCAACTCAGTCATTTTCTGGCGCTTTCGGGCTAATCGGGGAAGGGACCGTTCCATCAGTTCCATATGCCGCTTGGCCTTGTCCCGAACCGTGGCTCTTGTGGGCCGTCGGTTCAGTGAAGATTCATCGGGGAGGCTCGGTATCGAGACACAAGCTACGCTATTGGTTCGTAATTGGAAGGGGCTAAGGCCCGTCAATTCGTGAGGCATTCCCCGATGGACCGCCAAGATGTGATCTACGATATCGGGCCAGGGCCTCGGATCCCGTGCCGCGATGTTTCGTCGCAACGCTGTCTTTATCACCCGATTTGCATTTTCTACTAGGCCATTAGATTGCGACATGTGGGGTGCAGTATTCCGAATGGTGACGCCATGTACGACCAGATTCCTTAAAACTTCCCCTCTGAATTCTACCCCATTGTCGGTCAGGATTTCCTCTGTGTCCTGATGCATCCCTAGAAACCGGTTGACGTATCGCGCAATCTCAGCTGCTTGTCGCGTACGACACGGATATGCCTCGATCCATTTCAAAAAATGGTCTACGAATACCAGTAGGATGGAATACTCGCAGTTATTAGGTCCAGGGGGCACCACAATATCGGTAGTATCCATGCTAACCCTCTTAAACGGTCGTTCGACTACCGTCGGTACTATCGATCTTGGCGAATGGATCGGCGCCTTGTCAGCAGCGCAGACCTGGCAATTTGCGACGATGAATTTCACATCATCGCGAATATTGGGCCAATACCATTCGTTCTTGTCGATTGCCGCTTCCGTGATCCGTACGGTAAAATGGGTTGTCGTTTCCTCATGCGTCGTCTTAACCCAGTCATACCTCATGAACGGGTGCGGCACTACCATCCAAATCCCGCTACCATCCGTCTTCCGTTTTTCTAACCGGCCCTCGTTCCAACGATAATCCCGAGCTCTTTCATTGGCCCTCCTCCGGTCTTCCTTAGTGAAGTTCTGGAGGGGGTTTCATACCAAGGTAGCAATTAGAGTGATGTCCGTTCATACCTCGGCCCTTCTAAACTTCCGGGTCTCTTCCAACCCTTCTGACGTGGCGTCAAGAAATCGAGCTTCAGTCGGGATCTTATCAGTCCGACACAAAGGACATAACTAAGGCTTATCGCCATTTCTGTACTGGATGCACGAGCCATGGCCTCGTGCGACACACTGCCGACAATCTATCCATTCTGCATACCCTTCCCCACTAGGACGCATTGAGATCGAGTAGACGCGCGAGATCGCTTCACAAAAATAACAAAATTTGTCGGGTAGGGAGAGAAAAGATGAAGATGAGAGGGGAGAGAGAGGAGTCGTAGGATTACCTCCGTCACCCATTGTCAATTGCCTGCCTCTTGCCACGTGGAAGGACTGCCACTTGTCCGTACTTGGGTCCGTTCGCTGACTCCGGTTCCTTCCACGGAATAATTTCTTCGCCCTTTGGTACCTTAGCGGGGCGATGCAGACGTGTCAACCCATCCACGTTGTCGTGCCTCTCCGTCTTTCGGTGGATGATGTCGAAATCGTATTGCTGTAGGCGCACAGCCCACCGTCCAATCATGCCCGTGTAATTAGTGAGCTTCTTGAGAGCCAATAATGGCTCGTGATCGGTTACAAGGAGGAACTTCTCTCCGTACAAGTACGGATGGAAGTGTTGAATTCCCCAGACTACAGCATAGCATTCACCTTGCAGGGCGGAATCGTTTCTTCATTCGTCTGGCACCGTACGAGATGCGTACTCGATGACGTGCTCTCGACCGTCGTTCCCTTTCTGCGCTAGAATAGCGGAAATCGCCTCTGGCTGCCAGTCCGTGATGAGAATGAACTGCTTCGTAGGGTCCGGCCGGATCAAAATAGGTGTCGTCGCCAAAGCGCCTTTGAGGGTGGCGAAGGCCTGTTCACACTCTGCGTCCCAACTGAGGGGCTGGTCCTTTGGCAGCAGATTCGTCAGAGGTCGCGCAATCGCAGCAAAGCCTTTGATAAAACGACGGTGGTAGTCCTCCAGGAAAGCTCGAACCTACGTCACTGACGTGGGGATAGGACCATCTTTCACCGCCGCGACTTTCCTTGAATCTGGTCGTAGTCCTCCACGTGTCACCACGTAACCCAAGAACGAGATTTCCGAGAGGAAAAACTCGTTCTTCTCGAGCGCGATTTTGAATCCAGCATCTCTCAGAGCTCCCAACGTCCATTCGATGTGTTGTGCATGCCCGTGAAAGGTGTCCGAGTAGACAAGGATGTCGTCCATGTACACGATGACGCAAAAGTTAATCATCCCCTGAGTGAGCCGTGTCTTGTTGACGAAGTTCTGGAATGTCACGTTCATAGCCCGTTGAAACGTTGCAGGCGCATTGCAAATCCCCATCGGGCATCGAACCCACTGCCACATGCCTTCAAACAATACAAAGGCCATTTTCAGTCGATCTTCCTCCTTAACCAGAATGTGATGGAAGTCGTGACGAATATTAAATTTACTAAAATAATTAGCACAACCAATCACATCCAACAAATCATCAATCCTGGGAAGGGGATACACATCTTTAATCGTGATGTCATTCAGCTTGCGATAATCAATGCATATGCGAATCGATTTGTTCTTTTTTGGCACTAATACTACCGGGAACGACCATGGCCCAGTGGAGGGTTCGATCCAACCATTAGCTTCAAATTCTCAAATCCGCTCGAGGGTCGTTTTCCGCTCTACCAGGGAGTATCTATAAGGCTTACAGTGAATCAGGGGATGGTTTCCAGTTTGAATCTCGTGTTGTATGACTAACGACAGTCCAATGTCTGTGTCCGTCAGACTAATCGCTCCTTTGTATTCTTTTAGAATTTCTGCGACTAGATGATGGATCTCATCGGGTACGTATTGGGGCACGTGCAACTCATACAACTCATTCCATATCCGTACATCGATGTGTTTCGTACTTACCCGCTTAGTGTTTTCGGGGGGGGGCACGAAAATAAACGAGTTGTCCGACCGCCAGGAGAATATCGTGGCCATCATCTGTGCATCCTGCTCTCGGATGGCCACGTGTTCTTCCGGTGTTATTCCGTCTTGAATGTCCTGACAAGGTATTGGTTTAGTTGCGATTTTAATTCCGAGTCCAGTTTCGAGGCGCTCACGGGTTCCAAAGAATTGGTCTCCACTCCCAAGCGTATCAATCGTATCTCCTTTGCAGGTGACAAAAGAGATCGTGGAAGACTCGTGATGTCGCAGTAGTTTCTTTTGTCATTATATCGTGCAAGTAGAGGGGAGATACCTTCGTACAGGGTTCGAGGGGGTCCCAAAGAATCGACCATCCTCAAAATATGTACGAGGGGTTCACCCATAATCATAACTTGCGTTCTTTGTAGACTCTGATCGGTCAGGCTTAGCGACCTTGTATTTGCTCGTTGCATCGGGTAATGGATACGTTGTTGTGCCATTTCCAGGATCACTGGATCGTCCTCGTCACTGTTGTCCGTGTCCTTTGACGGTTGCCCATTGTCTGCGGAATTATCCCAGGTGATCACGCGGAGGGTTCCTGCCATTATAGGAGAAACTCGTGGAGTCACGTTAGTGGTGGTACGAAGGGTCAATCTCATCGGTACAACATAAGGTTTTCCTCCTGTATTTCGGAGGACAATCGATCATCTCTCGAAATCCAGATTGGCTCGCAGGGCCACAAGAGCGGGAAGACCGAAAAGGACGTCGTAAGTGTTTACGTCTAAGACTACGACATTTCCCAAAGCATGTACCTTCCCTAATCGAAAAGCGACATTGGTCATCCGTCCCACCGTTTTAATCTTTTCTTCATCTGCTGAAACTAGCTGATCTTTCTCCGTAGGCATGATTGGATCGTTCTTTCTCCCTGCTCTTTCAACTACCCGTAACGAGATAGCCAAAACAGCGGCTCCCGAATCGATAATGGCATTATACGGGATTCCCCATATCTCGATATCGCATTCGGCGGACTTCCATGGGATCGGTTTAATCCGTAGGAAGTGATAATCTTTCTAGATTAATCCTAACCGTATTGGGTCTGAAGTTCCTGCTGCATTTTCATTTGGCGTGGGATTTTTCGTTTTTGCGCTCGCTGTTCGGGCAAGGGCGAATCGTTTTCGATTCGCTTTGCAGTGTTGTAGCATCCGTTCATTGGCTTGTTCCGATATCGAAAGTAGATATCCAATCGAAAGAGGAATCCGATGATCTAAGGCTCGAACGATGTTCAAAACATCGATTTCCCCAGTGATGAAGGTGGGTCCTCTCGACTCCATTTCTCCTGGAGACGGTCGCCATTCCACCACTTCTCTTTGTTCTGGCGCAGGTCTAATCGTTCCAATCATCCCAAGCCCTGGGTAGCCCAGCGTTACATACTGATCCAACGGGATTAGTTCAGCGGCTTCCTCCATCATAGCTAATGTGCTTCCACCTCCTTCCATTTCTTCCATCAATGCCCCTACTCGTCTAGGTCCGTTGGCGATCGGGGCCGCGGCTACCGGTGCGGCTCTGACCCGTTGTTGCGGGGGTCGATGAGGGCAATCTCGGGCTATATGCCCTGGTTGGTGACACGTGTAACAGACGTTCAAATTGTCAGGGATCCCTGCAGGAGGGGGCGTCGGAGTTAATCCGTGTTGAATCGGGGCGGCACTCATCGCTATTAGTCGCATCGACCTCGTCATCGCCTCTATTCGAGCATTGTGTTCCCACTGTTCCTTTTTGCTCTCCTGAATCAGAGTAACCAATGTCTTGGTTAGTTCTAATAGGGCGGAAGACTCATTCGGTCGTGCGGGGGTTTCAATCGGTGG